AAAGAGGAGGATTAGCAACAGATGTTAGCTCAGGGCTAATCTTCCTCACCAAAAGAAAAAAAAAAGGTTGGGGGGGGGACTGATGTGGTCTGGCCCTGATCCTTCCCTCAGCTGACGTCCAGCCAAGGAGCAGAGACTGAAGGCAGAGCCTGGAAGAGTAGTGAGAACAAGGTTTCTGACAGAGACCCCATGACCTGCATTTCAGTTCTGCCTGGTCCTGTCTTGTTTATGTAATCGTGACATCTACAGCAGCTTTGAGCACAGAGACCTGGTACAGAAAGCAGAGAGCCCTCTGTTAGGAGGCCCTCTCTAAAAACAATCCTCAAAAGAGGGCCCAGCTTTCCCTCTGTCCTCTGCCTGACCCATGCAGCCTCCAGCTCACAGAGTGAATCCTGCAGGAGACCCTCTGATTAAAAATCAAAACCCTCTCACCCAAAATGCTCTTCAAGGCTGAAGGAAGACACACTTTCTCCCTATGACTCTAGAACAAGTCAAGACGAGAAAAAAATAACATTTCTTTTTATAAATACTCTCTAATTCATCAAAGAAAGCAACCCTGAAGTTGCAGATTGTGGTGAGGAGGGAGTTTGCACGGGGAGCGGGGCACAGCAGTGTTCTGGTTTAGGGTGGTAGGTTCAAAGCCTGATTCTTATAAACCCAAAATGCACTCACGGGAGTGGGAGAAGTGAACAGTGTGGAAGGGAATGCCATCTCCAGGACGCTTTCTGGAGCCTGCAATGTGGAAGGTGGGAGCAGCGAGCATCACAGGAGGCGGTTTCTTGGCGTCTCAGCCTGTGAATCATCGCTCTCACGTGGGTTCACTGAACCATCTCTAATTTGGGAGCGGAGCAGCAGAAGGGCCCCCGATTAACTTGGGTTCTGTCCTTCCCCTTTCACTCGGAGTTCCGTGAGCCTGAATGTTGGGCGCAATCTACAGGAAGGCTCAGGACATCCAGGGTGGTTCATCTCCACACCCATCACAGTAAGGACCTGCCTGAGATATTGGGGGTGGGGGGTGGAGTTGGGGGGGAAATGGCTCAAAGAAGGACTCACTTTCATACCAGATTATTGATCCAAGAGAAACGAAACATGCAGAGGACAAGGAGGAAATGTCAAAGAGTTGTTGAAATGACAGTGCAATGTAAAAGTTTCTTATAAGACAAAGATAGGAGGCTGTGCACAGGCTGTCTCAGGAAGGCTGTACTAGAAAGTGCCAACAGTGAGCACCCCTGGCAAGGGAAGGGGGTTAGGGGTGGAGCTTGGGTGTAGGAGGGGACCTGACCTTTCCCTGTTATGCACCGTTTGTACCATTTAAGTTTTGTACTATGTGTATGTCCTATTGATGAAAAATTATTTTTTACAGTCTTGCTGTCAGAAGACTTCATAGGTATGTAGCAGGTACTTAATAAACATGTGTTAAACCTCTGTGCTATTTCAGGAACTAGCATGTACGGAGTGCTTCCTGTGTGCCAAGGGCCCTTTGGCAATCCCTGTTTTACAGATCTTTGGAAGTGGAGGCTCAGCTAGGGAGGCGAGCGGGGACCCCTCCCAGGTCTGCTGGAAGCCCGAGCTCTGCTTCTCAGCAAGAACCACACCTCCTTCCTCCCTGGAGTGAGCAGTTGGAGGCACCAGATGCTCTGGCAGGATCCAGAGAGATGCCATCTGTGAGGGAAACCTATTCTTAGAGAGCAGAGACAGTCGGTGGTGCAGCCGGCCAAACCCCAGCAGCAGTGGGGGGACTGTGGGAGGCGGGGCAGCCAAGGCTTTACCTTCAGCTGTGGGGAAGGACAGGCTAAAAGCCGGGCATGATATTGTGATTTATAAGAAATATATATTTGGCCATCCAGATGACCAAAACATATTTCTCATATATATGTTGTCTTCGTCCACAGTTTCTGGCTCACAGCTCCCAAAACGCTTGAAATTTGTTTATGTTAATGAAGGTGACTTTTGAACCCCACCCAAGGGTGGGGGCTGGCTGGCTGGAGAACCCGCCATGTGATCAGAGGATTGGAACTTTCAGTCCCACCCCGTCTTCCAGGGAGTGGGTTGGGGCTTGAAGTTGAATCAATTGCCAATGGCCAATCACTTAGTCAATCACGACTACTTAATGAAGCCTCCAAAAAAACCCAACAGGACAGCTCATCGCCCTTTTTCAGAGAGCTTCCTCGTGCCACCGTGCCTGTTCACAAGCTCCTGTGTTTGGGACCTCGCCCTATGTATCTCTTCATCTAGCTGTTGATTTGTATCCTTTAATATCCTTTGTAATAAATCGGTAATCTAATGAGTAAACAGGTTTTCTTGAGTTCTGTGAGCCGTTCTAGCAAATTAATTGTATCTGAGGAGAGGGTTGTGGGAACCCCTGGTTTGTAGCCAGTCGGTCGGAAGCACAGGAAGCCACCTGGGCATCTGACTGGCACCTGAAGTGGAGGGCAGTCTTGTGGGACTGAGCCCTTAACCTGTGGAATCTGATTCTGTCTCCGGGTAGATAGGGTCAGAATTAAGCTGAATTCTCGGGTAACCTGCTGGCATCCGAGGACTGCTTCTGGGTGTGGGGAAGCCTACACACACACAGACGTTGGAATCGGGTCCAGGAACCCTCTGCACAGGGTATACTCAGGACCGTGCTTCCTTCTACGTTTGGATGTTATGTTAGAAGTAACAGCAAACTTTTGAGTGCTTACTTTATATGCGTCCTATCATTTAATCCTCCAGAGCACCCTATGAGGTGTGTGCTATTAGAATGCCTATTTTACAGATGACAAAACAGAGGCACAGAATGGTTAAGTCACTTGCCCAAGGCAACAGCCAGCGGGGCCAGAGCTGAACCCAGGCACTCTGGCCCCAAAGCCTACGCCCCTAACCACCATGTTGTACTGCCTCTCAACTTGCTGCACCAGAAGCCACTTTTACTTTGGGTTCCCCCGAAAGCAGACCCAAGACAAGAATTTGAGTGCAAGTGGTTTATATGGGAAGTGGTCCCAGGAAGCACTGGTAGGGGCATGAGTAAGGGAGACAGGGAGGGGGGTGTCATCAAGCAAGTGACACCGTGGGCAACTGCAGCTCAGTCTTGCTGGGCGCCCTGGGAGCCAGTGTGGAGCATGCGCCTCAGAGACACCCCACCCAGTGCTAACTGGGTGAGGGGTGCAGGGGTGGGGGTGTTCATCAGTCACTGGTTGAGGGCTGCTCCCAGGATGTGTCAATCCTCCAGCACTGCAGGTCTATGCAGGGTGGTGAAACAGGTGCCCTCAGGCAGAAAGACACAGGGGTGGCAGCTGGAAAAGTTGGCTCATGCACTGAAGAGGTAAGCCAGATGTTTTATAAGCATCTGCTTATAAAAGCCGCTTGCTAATGGCCACCCTCTCCCCTCCCCATAACCTCAGGATCTCATTCAGCCTCCACAGAGAGAACTAAGGGGCCTTCAAGATCCCCTTCTCCAAGTTTGCAGTACAACACTGTGGCTGAGAACATGGCTTTTATTTTATTTTATTTTTTGTGAGGAAGATCAGCCCTGCGCTAATATCCGATGCCAATCCTCCTCTTTTTGCCGAGGAAGACTGGCCCTGGGCTAACATCTGTGCCCATCCTCCTCTAGCTTATATGGGACGCCGCCACAGCATGGCTTGACAAGCGGTGCGTCGGGGCGCACCTGGGATCTGAACTGGCAAACCTTCGGGCCGCCACAGCGGAGCACATGCACTTAACTGCTACGCCACCGGGACAGCCTCAGAACATGGCTTCTAGAAACAGACCTATTCCCACCTCGATTACCCAACAGCTCTGTGACCCGGTTTCTTCATTTGTCACATGGGCTAATGGTTGGCCCCATATCATTCCCTACTACTTTGTTACTCAAGGTGTGGCTCAGACCAGCAGCAGCAGCGGCTGCAGGAAGCCTGGGAGAAATGCAGAATCTCAGGCCCCCACCCAAACGCACTGAATCGGAATCTGCATTTAATAAGATCTCCAGTGACTTGTGTGCACATTTCCACTAGTAACTTCTAAAATATAAAAAGAAACTGAAGCATTCCTACTAGACCAAGGGTCTCAAATTGGTAGTCCATGGACCAAATCTCCTGGAGACCTGTTTGATTTGTCCAGCTTGGTGGTTTTAAAAAATCAGTCTGGCACGCAAGCCTCCAGTTCACCACGTCCCCATCACTCCCTACTACATGACACCCAGAACGTTATCACCTATGCCACTTGCCAGGCCCCTGTTGCCATTTGAGTTTGCACACCCCTCTGGAACAGACTCTATAACTAGCTAATATTTGCATAGCATAGCTTAGGTTTCTAAATTTAAAGTAAGGCACTGAGAAAAACATGGGCTTTGAAATCAGATAGATCTGGGTTCAAACCCTGCTTTGGCTATTATTCGAGTTGTATTACTTTGGGTAAGTTACTTCCCCTTTCTGATCCTCAGTTTCCACATCTGTGATAGGGGGATCAAAATACATACCTGCAAGGTCATTGTATGGATGAAAAATAATACGTGCAAAGCACCCAGGAGGAAGTAGGAGCTCACTAAATGGAAGTAATTAGTAGTAGTCGCAGCAGTTGTAGTTACACAAGTCCAGTGTGGACATGAGGTATTATTATTATCCTCATTTTACAAGAAACTGAGGCCCTGAGAGGTTAAGAACCTTCCCCAAGGTTACACAGTGGTAGAGTAGGGAGTCAAACCCATGTCCTCGAGCTCTGTATCTGCACTGTCCACTAGAATCTTCTTCAAGGAAAGAAGTGTTCTCTATCTGTGTAGTCCAATATGGTAGCCACTAGCCACATGTGGCTACTGAGCACTTGAAATGTGGCCGGTCCAAATTGAGATATGCTGTAAGTGTAAAATACACACCTGATCTGACGACTTAGGACAAGAAAAAAGAAAGTAAACTATCTCATTTTTATATTAATTACATTTTGAAATGATAATGTTTTAGAAATATTGGGTTAAAATATATAATTAAAGTTAATCCTGCCTGCTTCTTGCCACTTTTTTTTTTAATGTGGCTACTAGAAAAATATCGATGACATATATGACTCACATTGTGTTTCTACTGGACAGTGGAACTCTAGAGCTTCTCCAATGGGACACCTGAGACAAGGAACTTAATATTTTGTAAAAACGTATTTGCAACCCACTGCCCACCAGCAAGGAGCCCACTGTGACATAAGAACAGTCGAAGAACATACCCACCAGACAGACACTTCAGGGCCCTCCTCTGAGCTCGACGACCCCTGAGGCCCAGAGGGGTGTGACTTTCCCTGGTCTCACAGAGGTCAGCAGCACAGCCAGAACTGTGCCCAAGGCTCCTCAGCCTGACATGGCCACTTGTCCCACCACTCGAGAGTACCTAATGGGATCTGACAATCAGTGCTTTTACTTCGGCAAATGAAACCCTGGGATAATGCAAGTTGGAGTCTGAGACCCAAGATCTTGAGAAGGCAGGATCCTCTGGGAGGTTTCAGTGATGGAAACCTCTCACGCCACAGCTGGGCACAGCCTGGAGCCTGCTCGGGTGTCGAAGCCCCTATAAGCACCTTGGGGCTGAGTCACTTCGAGGGGCGGCTCTTGTTGTAGACGAGGAAGTCCGAGATGTCGTGCCACACGTTGCTGTCCTCGTACAGGTAGGTCATGGAAGACTGCAGGGAGGGCTGCAGCGTGGGCTTGTGGTACTCAAAGAGCCACAGTACAAGCCCCCACACCACTGCGGTGAGCAGTGGGAATGGGTCCCACCTGGGTTCAGGGATGTAGCCCTTCTTCACGCCCAGGCGGCACAGGGCAAACAGGGTGCGTGACACCAGGTACATGTTGATCTGTAGGGAGGGAATGACAGAGGATTATGGATGGGCACAGCTACTGGGAACCTTCTGCCCACCCCCATCCATGGCGGCACCTACTGTGCACTGGATAAGTGTTTTTCAAAGTTGGTATGCAAGATGCAAAGTGGAATGTAGCAGGCATTTTAATATTACTATGTACATCTTCAGTATTCTTTTTCATTAAAAAATTTTAAAGATGGATATATTTACACAGTTCAAAATTAAAAGGTAACTTGACATCAAAAAGCACAATCCACAGGGTCGGCCCCATGGCTTAGCGGTTAAGTGCGCGCGCTCCGCTGCTGGCGGCCCGGGTTTGGATCCCGAGCACGCACCGACGCACCGCTTCTCCGGCCATGCTGAGGCTGCGTGCCACGTACAGCAACTAGAAGGATGTGCATCTATGACATACAACTATCTACTGGGCCTTTGGGGGGGGAACCACAATCCATAAAAGAAAAAATTGATAAACTGGATCTCATCAAAATTTTTAAATTTTTGCTTGTGAAAGCCCATGTGAAGAGGTTGACAAGAAAAGCTATAGGGGGTTCAACTCAGTGGCGTAGTGGTTAAGTTGTACTCAGTGGCGTAGTGGTTAAGTTTGCACGCTCCGCTTTAGCGGCCCGGGGTTTGCGGGTTCAGATCCTGGGTGCGGACATGCGCACCGCTTGTCAGGCCATGCTGTGGCAGGCGTCCCACGTATAAAGTGGAGGAAGATGGGCATGGATGTTAGCTCAGGGCTAATCTTCCTCACCAAAAAAAAAAAAAGAAAAGAAAAGCTATAGGGGCTGGCCCCACGGCCTAGTTGTTAAGTTTGGTGCACTCCACGTCAGTGGCCCGGGTTTGGTTCCCAGGTGTGGACATACACCACTTGTTTGCGGCCATGCTGTGGCGGTGACCCACATACAAAACAGAGGGCACAGATGTTAGCTCAGGGCGAATCTTCCTCAGCAAAAGAAAAAAAAAAAGCTATAGACTGGGAGAAAATATTTACAAACACATATCTGACAAAGACTAGTAACTGGAATATATTTTTTAAAAAACCTCCCAAAACTCAACAGTAAAAAAGGAAACAATCCAATTAGAAAATGCGCAAAAGACATGAACAGATATTTCACTAAAGAGGATATACAGATGGCATATAAGCACTTGGAAAGATGTTCAACATCATTAGCCATCAGGGAAATGCAAATTAAAACTACAATGAGATAGCACTACAGGGCCGGCCCTGTGGCTTGGTGGTTAAGTGCGCGCGCTGCGATGCTGGTGGCCCGGGTTCGGATCCCGGGTGCGCATCGAGGTACCACTTCTCCGTTCATCCTGAGGCCGAGTCCCGCATACAGCAACTAGAAGGATGTGCAGCTATGACATACAACTATCTACTGGGGCTTTTGGGGAAAAAAATAAATAAAAAATTATAAAATAAAAAATGTGATAAACCAAATGCTGGCTAGGATGTGGAGAAACTGGATCACTCGTATATTCCTGATGGGAATGTAAAATAATACAGTCACAAAATAGCTTGGCAGTTTGTTATAAAACTAAACATGAATGGACCATATGACGCCGCAATTGCACTCTTGGGCATTTATCCCAGAGAAATGAAAACTTATGTTCACCCAAAAACTTACACAGAACGTTCTTAGCAGCTGTATTCCTATTAGTCAAAAACTGGAAACGACCCAACCATCCTTCAACGGGTGAATGTTCAAACAAACTGTGGTACATCCATACCATAGATCACCACTAAGCAATAAAAAGAAATGAACTATTTTTTTTTTTTTTAAAGATTTTATTTATTTTTTCCCCCCAAAACCCGAGTAGATAGTTGTATGTCGCAGTTGCACATTCTTCTACTTGCTGTATGTGGGACGCGGCCTCAGCATGGCCGGAGAAGCGGTGCGTCGGTGCGCGCCCGGGATCCGGGCCCGGGCCGCCAGCAACGGAGCACGCGCACCTAACCGCCAAGCCACGGGGCCGGCCCCAGAAATGAACTATTGAAACAGAGAATGACTTGGGTGAATCTCCAGGGAATCATGCTAAGAAAAGCCAATCCCAAAGGTTGCACTTGTAATGAAGCCACTTATATAACATTTTTGAAATGACAGAATTTTAGAAATGGAGGTCACAGCAGTTGTCGCCAGGCGTCAGGGAAAGGAGGGGAGTGGGAAGGAGATGGCTGTGACCAGGATTCCTAGACTTTGGAAGTTCATAGACCGGTGAAATTTCTTTTCTTTTTTTTTTTTTTTAAAGCTTTTTTTTTTTTAATTTTTATTTATTTATTTTTTCCCCCCAGAGCCTCAGTAGATAGTTGTATGTCATAGCTGCACATCCTTCTAGCTGCTGTATGTGGGACGGGGCCTCAGCATGGCCGGAGAAGCAGTGTGTCAGTGCGCGCCCGGGATCCGAACCCGGGCCACCAGCAGTGGAGCGCGCTCACTTAACCGCTAAGCCACGGGGCCAGCCCAGACCGGTGAAATTTCTAACAAAAAAGCAAAACTGGGGAAACTTTCTCAAAAATACAAGATGTTCATTTCCATAGATTCCACAATTCCATGTCTGGGAACTTTCGGACAGACGGACGCATGTGCAAGAAGACGTCCAAACGAAGACATAGAGGGCAGCACGTGTGCAATGGCAAAAGGCTAAAGACCCCTAAATGTCCCTCCAGGGGAGACCCGTGAGATCGAGGCTGGTCCACCCACCCAGCAGAGAGCTCTGCTGATGTTAAAAAGGACGAGGGACTGACGAGAAAGGTCTCCCAGATACATTGTTCCATGAGAAAAAAGTGAATATGACCTCACTGGTGGAATGTACACTGACACAAGCACAACTTATGAAGGGCTACACAAGACACAGTCCAAGTGACCATCCCTGGACAGTGGCTTGACAAGTAGAGGGGACGACGACTTGCTTTTCAATTCATTTTCTAATTTTGTCATGATGTATCCCAAGCAACCAGATGTGTGCCAGGCACACAGGGGTGCTTAGTCTGCATTTTTAAAAAAGGGAATGGGGCCAGCCCCGCGGCATAGTGGTTAAATGCGTGCGCTCCACTGCTGGCGGCCCAGGTTCCGATCCCGGGTGCGCACCGATGCACCACTTGTCAGGCCATGCTGTGGCGGTGTCCCACATAAAGTGGAGGAAGATGGGCACAGATGTTAGCCCAGGGCCAGTCCTCCTCAGCAAAAAGAGGAGGATTGGCACGGATGTTAGCTCAGGGCTGATCTTCCTCACACACACACACACACACACACAAGTGAAAAAAACCCACATTATTTTGATAATTTAAGAATATTTAATAAATTTGAGGGAGACAAATAGAGGGCTGCCAACTTTTCACATTGCCCAAGAAGAATGCTAAAACAACTAGTATTTAGTTTCACCATTTCATAAAGAAACGGAATTTTAACCCAGAAAAAGGGCAAGTTATAGAATAAGAGATAATTTGAGTGTAATAAGTTTTGTTTTATGAAAATCTTACTCCAGAGTCACTTTTTTCTCATTTCACTGCAGAGTGGTTTTTTTTTTTTTTTTTTTAAATCTTTGCCCCAGAGAGCAGCACACACATTGATTTTTGGGAACCATGAAATTCCGACGAGGTGCTTGGTTTACAGACAGGGAAACCAAGGGGGAAGTGACCTTCCCAAGGTCACACAGGGACTGCTGTATTAGAGACCCTCAGACATGGAAGGGACCTGAGAGCTCATCTTCGACCCCCACCCCCAACTCTACACCTGAACCATGTCCCACCCCACACCCAGCGCATGCTGGGAGAGGATCTTTACCTGGCTGTTGATGTTATTGTTGTCTCCGAACACCAGCCAGCCCCCGACGAAGGCAGCCAGGAATGAGTGCAGCTGGTAGGTCTCGCCCTGCAAGTGGGACTGCAGGGCGCAGAGCCCCTTGTAGGCAAACACGAAGCAAGCCAGGTTCCGGGAATGGATGTACGTGGCTTGCAGGATGGCCCGCAGCTTCTCCCGGAAGCTGCACAGACACAGGGAGCCACTGTGAGTGCAGGCCCAGCTGTTCCAAGGGCATTCACCCATGGGGCATGCAAAACTGACTGAGGCAAGGAGCTCACTGCCGATGCTCACTCAACCCCAGGCCCCTAACCATCTCCCCAGACTTCTGCCTCACTGATTCAGGCCTTGACTCCATGCCACCTCCTCCAAGAGGCCTTCCCTGACCATCCTATGTAAAAGAACTCCCATCACATCCTGTCCCCTTATGCTACTTTTCTTTTCCTTCATAGCTCTTTTCACCACCTGACATTTATATGCTTATTTATTATCTCCCCCACCCCCGCCCCATCCCAGTGGAAGCTACCAGAGAGTGGTAGCTATACGTGGCTTGTTCATCTTCAGGGCCCAGAACAGGGCCTGGCGCATAGTAGGTGCTCAATAAATATTTTTTTGGCATGAACATGTGATGAATGAATGAGTGAGTGATGGAGTGAGTGAATGCCTACTATACGGTCAATCTGGGGATACAATTCTGAGAAAAAACAGATCTGCTTGCTGCCCTCAAGAGGTTTATGATGTAATGGGAGAGGAAAATATAAATAAATAATTACAGAGCAAGGGGCAAACTTTGACTTTGACAAGAGATGATCCTGGGATCTGGAAGATGAGGAGTCAATGAGGTCGAGAGGAGAGAGGAGTTGCATCCCAGGCAGAGGGATCTGCACCTGCAAGGTCTTGAGGAGGGACAGAGAGTGGGAAGTAAAAGAACAGAGAAACCATCAAGGCCTAAGCAGAGCGTGGGCAAAGGATGTGGGGGAGAGGCGGGGCCATGCAAAGTTTTGTCTTTATCCTGAGAGAAGCAAACACTCTAAGTAGGGAAGGAATTCAATCTATCCTTTAAAGATTTTTATTTATTTATTTTCCCCCCAAAGCCCCAGTAGATAGTTGCGTGCCATAGCTGCACATCCTTCTAGTTGCTGTATGTGGGACGCGGCCTCAGCATGGCCGGAGAAGCAGTGTGTCAGTGCGCTCCCAGGATCCGAACCCAGGCCGCCAGCAGCGGAGCGCGCGCACCCAACCGCTAAGCCACGGGGCCGGCCCACAATCTATCCTTTAAAATTAAACCACCAGGGGGCGATGAGGAGAACACAGGGAGAAGGGCAGAGACCGCTCTGGGAGATCAATTCAAGCGTGGTAAACCCAAGTGGCCTCAAGGCTAGATGACGACTCTGAAGTGCACCTGTGGAAATCTGCAGGTGAGGAGGCAGAGCCACGAGTCAGCTGAGTCTCACCCCATAGGAACACAGGCCCTGGGTTGCCAGTTCTAAGGCATGAAAGCTGGATTTCCCAGTTTTTAAATGGTGGCACTAATCCTGCCTTCAAAATGTTTCTAGAGTCTGACTCTTCTCCTCACCTCCACTGGCACCGCCAAGGTCGGAGCCACTAGCTTTGCCCACCTGGAGTATTGCCACAGCCTCCTAATTTACTCCTACTCCTGCCCTTGTTCCCCTGCCCCCATCTGTTCTTAATCTGGCAGCAAACTCTTCACTCTCACATTATTAAAAGATAAGTCAAATACAGGCATACTTCGTTTTATCACGCTTTGCTTTATCGCACCTTGAAGCTACTGCGTTTTGCACATGACCCTCCACCAGCAAAAAAATGACAACTTGCTCAAGGCTCAGCTGATGGTTAGTCTTTTTTGGCATAAAGTGTTTTTACATTAAGGTATGTACATTGTTTTTTTGACATACTGCTATTGCACACTTAATAGTCTACAGTATAGTGTAGACATAACTTTTACACGCACTGGGAAACAAAAAATCCGTGTGCCTCACTTTATTGCGATATTTGCTTTATTGTGGTCTGGAAGCAAACCTGTAATATCTCTGAGATATGCCTGTTGTGGCACGTCCCTGCACAAAATCTTACAATTTCCTGTAAGGAAAAGCCAATTCCTCTCTACACCCTAAAGCTGGACAGGATGGGCCCAGGTTACCCCAATGAACTTCCTCTGTTCTCTCCCTCAGTTCCAGCCTCTTCCAACCCACCAGCCATGATCCCACCTCAGGGCCTTTGCACTGGCTGTTCCCTTGGCCTGAAACACTCCCCTGATACCTACTTGGCCAACTCTTTCATCTCCTTCAAGCCTTTACTTGAATGTCGATTTCTCACTGAGGCCTTCCCTATTTAATTTGGCAGCCTGCCCCTCCGCCGGCACTCGATCCCCTTTCCCTCTATCCCGGCTCTACTTTTTCTTTCCCACTGCCCGTATCATCTGCTAACATACCACGTCGTTTCCTTATTTATGATGCTCATTTTCTGCCACCCCCACTAGCATGCGAGCTCTACAAGGGCAGTGATCACTGCGTGTCTGTTCACTGCTGTGCCCCAGCACCTAACACAGAGTCTGGCACATAGTAGATGCCCAGTAAACATTTCCTGACTGAAGGAATGCATTCAATTTTAAGAGAATGGAAGGCAAAAACCAAAATAAAAATAAATAAATAAAGCAAAAATACAAAAAGAAAATCTCACGAGCTGGATTTGGCCAGTAGGCTGTCCGTATGTGATTCTTATAAGCTCCAGGCTACATACGTTAAAAACTAGACACAAGTGCGGTGAGGGAAGAGCTACGGGAGATCAGAGGAAGACCGAGAAGTTTGAGCGAGGGAGAGCTCATGGACAGCTTTCCCGAGGCAGCGATCCTCAGGGCACTGGTGTGGGCTTCCAGGAAGGAAAGAAAGGTGGGGGGGAGGAGGAAAGGGCATTCCTGGTGGGGGTACAGCATGAGCAAAGGTGTGCAGGTGGAATGTGTGTGGAACGGCAGCGAGTCCTGTGAGCCAAGGGCACTCCAGGATGGATGTAGGGGAGAAGTGTGGGGATACAGCTGAGACCAGGCTGCAGAGGGTCTTAAAGGCCACACCTGGGCTTCTGTGGAGGACAGTGGGAGTCAGGGGAGTTTTCAAGCAGGAATAATAAGATGCGAGTTGTACTTGAAGCCGTGGGGGGGGGGGGGGGGGGGGGGGCAAGCTAGACCCAGCTAGGAAGCTACTGCATCTGTCCTGGCACTGAGGGCTGAGCACATTCTCTCCCAGTTTGAGGGGTGTGCAGAGGGAGTGGGTACCTGCCACTCCGGAAGAGAAAGGTCATGACCAGCGCGTGAGGGGCCCGGATTTTGACTCCATAGCTGTAGAAACAAAAGAAAACAGTTGCTATGGCATCACTGCATCACAGTTTCTTTCTGAGCTCTTTCTCTGACTCCTTGTCCCCTCTCTCCACTCCTAATTCTAACATCATCCTGGCAGCAGAAATAATGGTGGCTTCCGAGTTAGATCTGGGTTCAAATCCTGGCTCTGATACCTTCTTGGTAGAGTGGTCTTGGGCTTGTGATTTAACTTCTCTGAGCCTCAGTGTGCCCAGCAGTAAAAGGGGGTGTCAGACCTCAGAAGGCTGGTTATAATTTCGATGGAAGGAGACTGTGTGTAAAGGCCTTCACCATGCCCACTCAACTGGCTGTGTGGAGTTGCTCCCTCTGCCCACCCTGACTTTCCCATTGCAGCCCGATTTATCTTCCTTAAACACAAATCACATCACATCACTCCCAGCTTAAAAGCCTCCAACACTTTTCCACTACTCACAAAATAAAATCCAGGCTCCTCCCCACGGCCTTGCAAGTGCTGCAGGATTTGGCACCCGCTGACCTCTCCCACCTCACCCCACACCACTCCTCTCCTGCTCTAGCCCCACCGGCCTCCCCGGAGTTCCTCTGACACACCAGGTTCTTCCCTGCCTCTAGGCCTTTGTCCAACTCCTCCCTCTGCCTGGAGTGCTCTTCCCTTAGTCCTCACCCAGCCGCCTCTTCCGCAGCTTTCCAGCCACAGCTGAGCCCTCTGCGAAGGCTTCTGACCCCCCAGCCTAGGTGAGGGCCATATTTTCACTGCACAGATCCCCACACTTCTCTGCAGCACTTGACACTCCTGAGTTAATAACTTGATTATTCATAATTACTTCTTCTACTCTCATTATCCCTTTCCTCTACTCTGGGCTCCGTGAGAATGGGAACTGTGTCTGGCTTGTCCTCTGCAGAGTCCCCAGCACCTCATAGTATGTGCTCAATAAATGACTGACTGATTCTAGAACAGCCATTAACTATCTGTAAAGGAAGGTAATCTCTAGAAGATTCTATCTTTGTCTTAGTCCATCCTAAAGTTAACAAATTCCCTAAAAACTACCCCCCAAAAAAAAACACTAGAAGGAAATATGCCACAATACTATTAGCAACGTTCCCTGGGCTGGAGAAATATGGGAATTTATTTTTGTCTGTTATTTTACATTTTTCTATACTTCTAAAATGATCTACAATGATTAAGGATTGCTTTTAAAATTAAAATAATTGACAGGTTTTTTTTTTTTTTTGGCTGAGGAAGATTGGCCCTGAGCTAACATCTATTGCCAATCTTCTATCTGTGCCAGTCTCCCTCTATTTTGTATGTGGGTTGCTGCCACAGCATGCCTGCCAACAAGTGGTGTAGGTCCCCACCCAGGAACCGAACCCCGGCCACCAAAGCGGAGCACGCTCAACTTAGCCACCAGGCCACGGGGCCAGCCCCTGAAATACATTTTAAGTGTTACATTAATTCCCTCTTTTTAAGCTTCAAACCTCTTCCCCGACTCTCCTTTCACCTCCTCATTTGAGCATCTGGGGATCATGCGAACAAGACCATGGTCACCTTCACGTTTCCCTTCACTGTTTTAACTATACTCAAGTGGGTAGTAGGAAGGAAATAGTATTTGGTGCCAAAGCCCTGCCACGTTTTGCTGTATGAACTTGGATCAAAGGCTTAACTTCTCCGAGCCTCCCTCCTCCCGTCAGTGAAAAGCATTTTCCATTTCAATGTAGCTTCTGGAACTTCAGGACATAGCGCATGTGAAAGTTCCTAGTTCAACCAATACTGGTGTCTCTCCCTTTCTCCTTCTTTTTTATTGGACTCCCTCTTCCCCCACTAAGTTCTCCGGCTTCCAGGTCCTGATCTAACCAGGTTACAAGGTCTAAAAATCCTTGACAGGGCCCGCCTGGTGGCTTAGTGGTTAAGCGCGCGCGCTCCGCTACTGGCGGCCCGGGTTCGGATCCCAGGCGCGCACTGACGCACCGCTTCTCCGGCCATGCTGAGGCCGCATCCCACATACAGCAGCTGGCGGGATGTGCAACTATGACATACCACTATCTACTGGGGCTTTGGGGGAAAAAAAAGGAGGAGGATTGGCAATAGATGTTAGCTCAGAGCCGGTCTTCCTCAGCAAAAAGAGGAGGATTAGCACAGATCTTAGCTCTGGGCTGATCTTCCTCACACACACACAAAAAAAATCCTTGACAGCCTCCTTGAGACAGTGGTCATAAGCCACATATTGTTGTCATACAGTCATCTGTGAACGTGCACCACAGGCTTGTTTGAAACAGCAACAGACTGGAAGCAAACCCGTGTCCATCTACAGGGGGCCCCTGGGTAAACAAATAATGGTCCCACCATTCAGTGGAATACTACACGGCTGCAGAAGAATGAGGCTTTATGTGTATTGCAGGATTGACTAGAGCAAAGTGCATAAAATTTAAAATTGTGGAAAACAAGGGAATTCTATAAATCTAAAATTATTTCAATGTAAAACTTGTTTTAAAGGTGTAGGGAAGAATATATGCATTTGTTTGTATATGCAGGCAGTATTTCTGCATATATAAGAGAGAGGACACAGGGGTCACCTCCAGGGAGAGGGAATGAGTGATGGAAGGGTGGGGTGAGCAGGACTTTGTACCCTCTAACTTTCTATGCCTTTTATGAATATGTTACCTAATTGTTTATTATTTTATTGCAGTCATAATGGTTTATAATATTGTGAAATTTCAGGTGTACATTATTATTTATCAGTTTCTGTATAGACTGCACCATGCTCACCACCGATAGTCTAATTTTTATCTGTCACCATATATATATGACCCTTTACCCCTTTGGCCACCTCTCAACCCCCTTTCCCTCTGGTAACCACTAATCTGTTCTCTTTGTCTATGTGTTTGTTTATCTTCCCCATATGAGTGAAATCCTGCGGTGTTTGTCTTTCTCTGTCTGGCTTATTTCGTTTACATGTTACCTAATTTTTAAAAAATAAATTAAATAAAAAATGTTAACAAGTTAAAGCTGGTGTTATTGCTGTGGTGGCTGTGCTGAACTGCTATCTTCTCCCCTGCCTAGCAGTGGGCAGGACCCTCATCCTGGCCCCAGCAAGCTCTCTGCCCCACCTCCTCCCAAGTCATGTCTCTTTGCCCTGAACAGAGGCCCTCAGCCTCCTCCAGCTGGCCAGGGCTAAGAGGGCCCTTTCTTACACCCCAGACACAAGCAGAACAGTGCCCCCAACTCCCTGCATCTGCTAGGCCCCCTCCCCAAAGTTCTCAAACTCAGGTGGGAGCCGGTTACTGTTCACAGGATTACTCTGTAGCCTGAAAAAAGGGATGCCCTGGATTAAAAAGAATTTAAAGGACATAATGACAGGTGCAATGTGATGTCCCGGAGGATCCTGGTCTGGACAAACTAGCCAAAGAGGACATCTGAGGGACAACTGGGACAATTTGACCATCAACTGGACAGTAGTCAACATTATATATAGGATTATTATTAATTTATTAAATATAATGATGATCATTTAGCCACATAGGAGAATGCTTTTATTTTTAGAGATGCACACTGATATATTTAGGAGTGGAACATCAAAGTGAGTTAAATGTCACAAAGTTCATACGTTTTGGTAGTCCAGGCCAGCCTCCCTAAATGGATGGCCTCTCTTCACAAACAACACATTCTTTTCCACCTCTAGGCCTTTGTTCAAACTATTCCCTTTTTCCTCTGGCAAATTCCAACTCAGCCTTCAAAATACCACCATCACCTCCTCTGTAACTGCTGTAAGGCATTTCTTTTTTTTTTTCTGTGAGGAAGATCAGCCCTGAGCTAACATCCACGCTAATCCTCCTCTTTTTGCTGAGGAAGACTGTCTCTGAGCTAACATCTATTGCCAATCCTCCTCCTTTTTTTTTCTCCCCAAAGCCCCAGTAGATAGTTGTATGTCATAGTTGCACATCCTTCTAGTTGCTGTATGTGGGACGCGGCCTCAGCATGGCCGGAGAAGCGGTGCATCGGTGTGCACCCGGGATCCGAACCCGGGCCGCCAGTAGCAGAGCGCACGCACTTAACTGCTAAGCCATGAGGCCGGCCCCTGTAAGGCACTTCTGATCACCCAGTAGTTCCATGGTAGTTTAATGATCAGTCTCCTCCTTTAGACTCCAGGTCCTTACAGACGGGCCATGTTCTTAGCACTAGCCAGTAATGGATCACTGGCTTAGAGCACCCCTGTATGGGTGAGTCTGTTTCCATTTTACAGAGGAGGAAACTGAGGCCAGAAGAGATGAAGGCACCCAACTTTGAAATGAAGGAACTGGGATTTGAACCTAAGGGCCTGACCTTAGCAAGTGCCTGCCCAGGCTGGGAAGGTCCCTGAGATCACAGGAAGAATTGGGGTGGGAGCAGGCATACAAAGGCAGCACTGGACAACGCCCACTGGCACCAGGGCCTGTGTGACTCCTATTCACTCCTGCTTTGTCCTGAGAATACCCAGGCAAAGGGCCACTGATGTTATCCCAGAGTCCACCCCTGGTCACACCAAGGCATGGCCGACATGATCTGGCCAGACCCAGCATGAATCAATTTCTACCTGACTCAGGGTGCCCATGGAAGCCAAAAGCCTGGTGGGGGATCAGGCATCCCTGGGTCCAACCTGGCTCCAACCCTGACCAAGTGATGTGACTATGAGTAATGAGTTTACCTCTCTGAGCCAGTCTTCTCATCTAAAAATTGGGGACAATGTCAATTCCTACCTTGCATACTTATTCATTCATTCAATAAATGTTTGAGAGCTTACTATGTACCAAGTAACCAGGCATACACCAAGGAACAATATAGATAAGAGGTGGGGAGTTCAGGGATGGCCTCATTGAGGAGGTGACACTTAAGCAGAGGCCTGAAAAAGGTGAGGAAGTGAGCCAGGCAGATGTCCATGTGAATATAACAATTATAATACCAGCCAACAGTTATATATATATACACCAGGCTCTGTGCTAAGCATTTCACACATATTGACTCAGTCCTCTTAGAGTATGATCTAAGTACTATTATCATCCTCATTTTACAGAAATTGAGGCTTAGAGAGGCTAAATGACTTGCTCAAGATCATACAGGGAGGTGGCACTAGGATTCAAACTGAGGCAGTCCGCTTCCTCACCACGCCAACTCCAGGAGGACACAGACCTTTATTCGGTTTGTTCTCTGCTCCATCCCCAGTTCTGGCACAGTAGGCTCTCAGTAAATGATAGCCCTTATGCATGAGGTTTACAGGAGGCAGAGCTCTCCTCTAGGCACCAGCCAGCCGAAATGACCCCAAGACCTCCTCTCCTGCAGGTCTGAAGACCAGGGTGGGATCAATTTGCCTGGCAAATACTTGCGGCTTCTTTTACATTCGCTGTCACTTCTGAGACTTATGCCCCAGAAGTCTCCTGTGCCATGGGGACTTAGCGCTAGAGTCATACAGATGACAGGTGAGAAGCGGGATGCGAGCCCACGGGCAGCTTAAAGGGTGGAGCATGCGTAGGAGGCGCCACCGGCCTGTTAGGGGCCAGAGTCCAGTTTCCATTGCGGAGATGGGGCCACTGAAGCCAGAGAGGCTGTAGGCGGACAGGAGGGGGGTTGGGAGGAACTGGGCTCAAACGAAGGGATACAGAGGCTGGCACTGAAGGTGGTCCAGGCAAGAGGGCCGGGCTGCAAAGCACGGAGGACCCAGAAACAGCGTAGTGGGCGCCCCGGCTCAGAAGGCGCTGGGAACCCAAAATCCAGGGCCCGCTGCGCAGAGGGTAGACACTGAAACCTAGAGACACGCTAGGGCTGCTCAACCGCACACAGCGCGGGTCCCGGAACCCGCTTCTCCGACCCCAGCCAGGCCCGTCCCTCAGCCCGGGCGCGGCCCCACGACCCCACTCACACTACCCCGTTCCGGAAGCCCTTAAGCATCGCCAACGCAGCGTGGTAGCGGCGCTTGCGCAGCAGTGCGTTGACCGCAAGGATCAGGGCCCGCAGCTGCGGCGGGGCGGCCATAGCGCTGGCGGCGCGCACAGAGCTAGACGCACACTGACAGCCCCAGGTTCCGACTGCACAACCCGCAGCCGCGTCTTTGAGCCCATAGACCGTGTCTGCTGTCACTCACATAGGGAGAGCCAATCACAGGGCGCAATCATCTCACAGGAGGAATGGGACGCACGCACTCTCCCTATTAGCGGTCTGATTGGAAGAGAGGGGAGAGCTTGTAATCAATCACAGTGGGCTCCGCCGGACTCGACCTAAGGAAGGTTAGCGTCACACGCTTGGATTTGTCCAATCAGAAAGCGTATTTTTTTCCCGCTTGGAAGGAAGTGTGTCTCCAGTGAGCTTGGAAGGAGGTTTCCTGAAAGAGGAGCCGCCCTTCCCAGAGTTGGGAGGGTGACGCTGAGAGGAGCCAGGCCTCGTCTTTATACATGACAGCTCTGATTGGGTAACAGTGATCATAGCGATCTTCCCAGAGCATGAATCACTTGGCACCCTCACTGGCTTCCGTTTATTCTTTAAATACAAGCTCCTTCCCGCGGCCCACAGAGAAGACTGTATAATCTAGCCCCTGCTTCCTTCTCTAACCTCATGTTCCGTCACTTGCCCTCTCACTCACTCCTCTCTAGCCGAACTGGCTTCCTTGCTGTTCCTTGAGCGTGCCAAGAATGCTCCTTCCTCAGCGCTCAGTGCTCCTTTGCGCTTGCTACTTCCCTGCCTGGTATGCATCACACTCAGTTCCGCCTATGCCTGGCTCTTTCTCAACCTTCGGATTTCAGCTCAAATGCCACCTCCTCAGAGAGGCTTTTCTAGATATCCCATCTGAAGTAGCACTGCCCACTCTCACTCATTACCCTCTTTTATTTTCTTCATAGAATTTTACTCGTCGAAATTGTTGTTTGCTGCATATTCGTTGTCCATTGCCCTACCAGACTGTAAATTCCATGAGGGCAGAAACCTTGCCTGTCTTGTTTTCTGCTGTAAGCCCAGCACTTAGCACACAGGGGGTGCCCAACGTGTGCTTGTTGAAGCAATACAGTTTTGGGTTGTCATCTCCCAGACATTTATATATGATGTCACTGTGTGGAGTTGTCACTGGATAACAACTACATGTTGAGTGGTGGCTGTGACTTGTGAGGGTATCCCCTAGTACTTGGGCCATGTGGTATTTATCTGTGATATTATTGCCTAGGTTACTGTCAGAAAATGATATCAGAGGTCAGTGAAGGGGGAATTATGCTGGGCCTGTTTTATCGCTGAAACTGGATTTTCTTTTCTTTTTTTTTTTGGTAATGGTGGACTGGTTTATTCGGTTAATCCTTCCTCTGAAAATAGTGGCGATGTTAAATAAAATATAAAAATTTCCTCTGAAAAACACTGAAGTGCTTAAAAGCCTGGAGAATGCCCAGGTCAATTATTAGGTGAAAGCTGGTAACCAGTTAACAGGAAGATTGGAATATTGGCTGACCAAAGCTATTTATGACATGACAGCATTTGCCAATACTGACTCTGTGGGTTTCAGTTTGTGAACCGCATAGAGAAAGAGGCACAGAAGTGAAAGTCCAGGGCCTGTCCAAGTGGGGATTCTTGTAGAAGAATCTCCTCCCATTAAGCTGAGACCCAAAAGGGTTTCATCTCAAGTTTAACCTGATATGAACCTGCTGCACACCCCACACCACTAGAAGCCAAGGAAGTTCAGAAAATGTTGCCTTGGTGCTGAGCAGAACAGTTGAAGGAAAAGGAAAGGGGAATTTTTTTAAATCCCTTCCTTGGGAGGTTGTGACCATTGATGAGTCCTTTTGCACCGCAGAGAGTAGAGCGTGGTAGCCCAAGAAATCTCAAGCCACGAACTGAAAACCTGGTTTGAGGTGATAACTGACTGAAAGTGCCCCTAAACCCTTGGCAAAAGCGAATGCAAAGCCTCTCTGAAGAAAGGCACATCTATCTTTGGCTTCAGGGAACCACCACAAATAGTTTTTCAAGGTGATTATCAGCACATAATCAGAGATAACCAGGCACCCAAGGCTTCATGAAGAAGAATCAACAGACACAACACATTGTCTTGACATGAGTGCAGCCATGTTTGGCTGTTCCATTAACCTACAGCCACCAACACACAAAGAAATATAAAGCTGCTTTCTGTGTGGTGGGAACTGGCCTTTTTCCCAGGAACTGGCCGTTCTCCCACGGAGACAGTTGCAATTTGTAAGAATTTCAAGGTCCTTTGGGCGTCATGGCCTGGGGCAGACTGGCAGTCTGTGCAGGGCTGGGACAATAACCAGGGAAAACAATGCACGTACACAACTGCCTGGCTGGGACAATAGCCAGGAGGCTCAGTGCACGTACCCCACTGATAACCATTTGTGCATGGGAGCACTGAATGCTTGCTCTGTAAAGTCTGTAACTGCTTATATAAACTGCTGAAAACTGAGGCCTGGTGAGAGTCTCACCTGTGGAATGGACGCCTTGCCCAGAATGTGTGATTCCCGCCCAGCCGTGTCAATTGAAGGGACTCTCCCGGCAGTGGGGCATGGATGTTGTGAGTAACTGATCTGATGTGTTCTCTTTATGGTCAACCTGGTGTTTCTCTTTCTGGTTGATTTGTGTTATTTCCCTTCAGTCGATCTGCTGTTTCCTGTTCTGATCGTTCTGATGTTTTTTCCTCTTATTATATGACCTATTCAATCTGCTGCTATCTCAGCCGATCTGGTGTTTCCCTTTCCAATAGAGCTGGTGTTCTTCCCTCTTATTATTTGACCTATTCAGATCTGTTTGCAGACTATTGCCTTTACTCTCCTCTATATAATCAAATATACCTTCAGTCCATTTGTTTGGAGTGGAAAGTTTCTTTTACATCTCCGATCGAATCCCCGAACCTCTCATAACACACATGGGCACAACAGGTCAACATAGACTTCAGATATTTACAGACACAAGTTTTTAAAAATTGTGCACACAAGATTTAAAGCTAGAAAATGGCTACAGGGAACAGAAAACTATATACTGGGGGAAAAAACATGAAAAATTTGAAAAGGAACCAAACAGAACTTCTAGAAATATCACCTGATACTCCCATGAAGAATCAGCGTCCAAGGCCTGAGACGTGGCCAGCATCAGGAGAGGGTGTTTGGAAACTATGTGGTTCAGCAAGTTCTTCCTGAGTGTTGTCTTTTGCCAAGCCCTTCTCAGAGATATTAGTAAGTTTTTTCCCTCAAGGAGCCCAAGGTAAAGAGTTGCCATATGAGAAGACTTGCCATTGCCTGGTGACCATTTTTGATTGTACATAACTCTGAGTTCCTCAGAGCAGGGCCTGTTTATTCATCTTTGCCCAGTGTAATTGAATTTATTTATTTAACGAGCACCTACAGAGTACATGCTGTATGCCATGAATTGTTTCCTAAGTACTTTATTAACCATTTCATTCTCATAGCAACCATATGAGGTAGGTACTATAATCATGCCCATTTAACTGATGGGAGACAGACACAGAGAAGCAAAGTAACTTGCCTAAGATGACATAGCTAATACATGATGGAGCCAGGATTGGAATCCAGCCCCTGGCTCCAGAGTCTTTGATCTAGAGCAAACCATTGGATCAGTTGGCTAGGGCTTCCATAACAAAATGCCATGGATTAGGTGCCTTAAACAACAGAAATTTATTGTTTCATAATTCTGGAGGCTGGAAGTCCAAGATCAAGGTGTCTGTGGGTTTGGTTTCTTTTGAGCCCTCTCTCCTTGGCTTGCAGATGGCTGCCTTCTCATAGTATCCTTATATGGTCACCCTTTAGTCTATGTGTATGTCTAAATCTCCTCTTCTTATAAGGACATCAGTCATATTGAATTAGAGTCCACCTATGCAACCTCATTTAACTTTAATTATCTCTTTAAAGGCCCTATCTCCAAATATAGGAGAGGTATTAGGGGTTAGGATGTCAACATATGAATTCTGGGGGGACACAATTCAGCCCATAACCACCACCATGCTTTGCTGTCTCCTACCAATCCCGATGAACCTAATGAGATGTCAGGGCCCAGCATTGCCTTGTGCGTCCTCACTTTCTTCCTCTTGCAGCTGGGAGTCTGATTTAAGCTGCTCATGATTTCTCTCCTCCCCCTAGACAAGTTAACTTTTCTGAAGTGGCTGGAGCACTCATTGTGGAGGGAGACACTGGAAATTTCCCAAACTTTCCCTCCTCCCTGCTTGGCTTCATGCCTGAAATTACTACATCACTTACTCCAGGAGTCTCTAAGCTGTGATGGATTAGGTTTAGTGCCAACCAGCTGGCCCTAGGGGAACATGACATAGGACAGATAGATTTTTGGTGGAGGAATAAATAGAGGTGAGGAGTGGAAAGTTTGGAGCAGGAGGCAGCCTGACTGGGGAGATTGCTGGAGGTAGGGTTCTACATCCTTGAAAGTTCACTGAGTTGTTCCATCAGTCAGGTAGTCAGTTAACAAGCCTGTCCCATGTTGCCTTTGTGCCAGACCCTGAGGTCCATCCAGAATGGATGAAGCACCTCCCTTGTTCAGGGGGCTCCCTAATGAGAGGATGGAGAAAAGGGAAACTTCCAAAGGCCAAAGAGTATCCCATGATAGGGGTGGGGGTGGGAGAACAGCATTTTAGTAAGAGAGATCAGCATGTGCAAAGGCCTGAAGAGCAGATAAAAATCAACATGTGTATATGCACCCGGACGTATGGAAATACATGGAAAGCTTCCAAGGCCTGTGTTGGCGGAATCTTTTACTGTCCAGTGCCTCCATTACCCTCAGCATAAAACCCAAACCCTCACTGTGGCCCTGTCCATCTCTCCATCCTCATCCTCCTGTACCCATACCTCACTTCTTTTCCTCAGGTGGCCCTTCACAGTCCTTGGATTCCTTTCATTTTGGCCTCAGGGCCTTTGCACTTGCCCAAGATAATATAGCTAATAAGCTCTGCCTTTCTGTTCCCTTTTCTCCATCTGACTCCATCTCATTTCTCAGGTCCACCCCCTCAGAGAAGCCCTCCCTGACCACCCTGTCTAAAGTAGCTTTCCCTCCTCTCCTCCAAAA